CCAAATTTTGCTTGAATTAGTGGAAATTATGACCTTTCGTGCATAGCCACCATAAGCTATTCCACCAATATATGCCTGTTCAGGACGAGCTTGTTTATCCTCATTACTTTTCTCTAAAGAGTTCCCTATAGTAAATAGGGCAAACAGATCATAGGTCATCACATATGTTATGCATCTGATGAAGCTATAAGCAATGAACTACTAATTGCTAGTGTGCAGTCAATAAGCTACAATAAGAAATTAATAACTAAGACAACCCTGTTATGAATGAGAAGATCATCGACCACAAACGAGGACCATTCTATATTAGTATCAACGTCAACATAGTTGCCAAACGATATTTTGAAAAGCATCTAAGACACATGAATTAGAACCGCTGCTTTACGATCTGACTTATGATGGGAGATGAAGGAATCAGATTGTTAGCAAGACTAAGTATTAGAGCATCGAAGAAGTCATGATCTACTAAAACATGCACCGATGGCCAAATAGAGCAGCCCATCTTCTGTAATACTTAAAAGGAGGATTTTTTTTTCAAAAATTAAATTTCTATTAAGAAATAAAACAACAATCAACATATCAATTTTCTTCATAAAAATTATGAGATACATAAAAAATAAAAAATAAAAACTCCAAAATATGTTAGATAAAGTTGATAAAGATCTAAAGAGGTCTCCCCTCTTAGACACAATATCCTTTATATGAATCCATCTAATGTTACTACAAATTACCTCTACCTCAGAAAAGGAGGATTTATTAGTAGGATGTAATGATCAATGAATGATAGTATATATACAAAGAGTGGGAGAGGGAGTGAGAGAGAGAAAAACAAAACATAAGACGTTAAAAACCTCATCTGTCTAAAATATACACATCGTCCCAAAAGTGCCACATTGAGTTGTCAACTTCTTTGAGAGAGAGAACAAATAAATAAAAACACAATACTGAAAAGTTGACTGTTAAAACCATGGACACTCAAAATTGCTCCCTCAGGGAACTGAACCTCCCGATTTTTATTCCGTACAAACAAAATAACTTTTGAGCAAGAAAATACATCAAAAAATTCTCATTTATAGGATGAATAATGCTTTCAACAGGTATAATTATGTCTGAAACTTCAGATGACGGTCTTTTGACAAGCAAATATAATGTTTCAATTCCAAGGTGGATTAACATCTTGACTAGTTCAAGGTGGTTCAGGTTTCCATTCTGGTTTCTCATCCCAATATATGTCATAGTATATATGGCTAGGGACAAGGTTCTCCATGCAGCACCACATTCCAACGTACCTCTTCACGTGATTTCTAAATTTTACTTCTCTTGCTTAAATCAACTCATCACGTTATCATCTAGAACAAAATAGTAATATAGAAAAGGAATTTTTAACCTAAAAAAAAAAACGTATGATAATGCTTAGCTCATCATTGAACCCTCAGGAAGACATTCGCCATGGATGAAAAGTGCAAAACTTTGATATCTTTGTATTGGGAGAATACTTGCATGTACTGTAAGACAAATTGGCAAACTATTTAGCAAAGCTTTTGAACTCTTCTAGAGTACATCAGTAAAAGCTTCAAGCATCTACCCTTTTCATGGAAAAAATACAAAATAATCAGATTCATGTGTCATGACCATGTCTGATTAACTATAAGACAAAAAAGTAACAAAGTCCGTTAAAAACACATATACACATTTCTAGAGCTCGTAAGAAGAAGCTAGTTCTTTGCTCTGCTTTCTGGCATTGTATCAAGAGGCCTTAACTCTCAAAAGGTTTGAAAAATGATAAACAACGAAAGAACCATGTTTGATAGTCTGATAGAAACTTAATTTCTAAAAATCCGAGTAGAAAATTTGAACTTGCTTGAGTGATTCGCCAAATAGTCAAGATAGGACAATTCTTGTTCTCTCTAGGACAAAACTAAAGTTTGTTCAATCAATTGACGGATCAGAGGAACACTGGTAAGACCCTAAAGGTCTTATCGTAGGCTCTGATACTAAATGATAAGACCCTAAAATTTTATCCTCGCTCTGATACCAAATGATAAGACCCTAAAGTCTTATCGTAAAAGAAAGGAGAAGAGAAAGGGGAGAAATGGGGATGATAATGATCGCTTCAAGGGGATCGGCCTCCTTGATCGCTTCGAGGGGATCGGCCCTCCTTGATCGCTTTGAGGGGATCGTGTTAGGACTCTAGCTTGGAGAGTCCTAATTGAGAGGGACATTCATGTAAAAATGTTA